GCAATTTTCAGTGTGCATGATGGGAGGAATGGGTGCTTCATTTAAAATGGAAACTGACATGATGATCTGCAGATAAACATGGCAGGAAGCAGCAGGAAACTTGTATCTAAATTTAATTTCCTTTCACCGTCTTGTGTCCAGTAGTGCCTTTAAAAAAAAAAACATGGTGTTATTTTGGATGGCAGTCCACCCCTGTACTGTGAGAGCCGTACAAAGTGAATATTATGTTCTCCAAGTGCTAATGAAGTAGCCAYTGTTGCTAGGGGAAGCGAGCAGAAAAGGGCAGCAGCCTCTTTTTGTTTGTGGGCCGCTGGTGTAAACGGGGTTTCTCCTGCTTACCTCATCACTGCATCAGTCCAGAGAGAAGGAAGCCAGGAGAAGGAGGAGGAGGAGGAGGAGCGCTCTAGCCCATAGCCTACATTTATTCTGGAGAGCAGGCTCCTCCCGGCCGGTTACCATGGCAACCATCCCTCCATCATTGAGCGAGAGGAGGGGATGGCCATTTTTAGAGCTTTCACTCTTTTTTCTGCTATTTGACTCGTTTAATGAGCCAAATGATTTGTGTGTGCGACTTATCCGTTCCCATTCAGTGCCTCTCTCACACRTCAGGGCTAATTGTGTTCAGGCAGACTCGAACCGTTCCCCACATCTTATTTTGTTCCAGAAACCTCCAATAGTTACATAAACTGAAATAAGCTCTGTGGCGGTTGCACATACGTGCGTGRGTTTTTTCACGTGTGACGGAACACGTGAATCACGTGCTATTTTTATTAACGTCTGGGCTATCTTTTGCTCTTCTTCCCTGCAGGTGAAGTGGATGATGTACTGGATAGTGTTTGCATTGTTTACTACAGCAGAAACAGCCACAGACTTGCTTCTGTCGTGGTGAGTCAGGAGCCTCTCAAACCCACAAACTGGAAACAAACATGGCTTTTATTAAATACATTTGAACATTAAGTGCTGAGTACACACTTGTTATTGTGTATTTACAAAAACCTGAACGTTTTTGTCATTTTCCCCAAAAATAAATAAATAAATTTTAAAGAAAAGTTATTCAGAAAGCATCTAAACTTCAAAAGAGCTCCTGAGAAAAACAGGAATAAAGAAGAGGACATTAGAAAGGCGTACGAGGCTGAAAAGCTGGATCAGCACAGGAATCGAAATGATGGTAAAATAAAAATATTTGTGTTAGAAAGATTTATGTGGAAAATAGTTGGAGCTGTGATTCATATAAAAAGTCCCCAAATTTCTTGTCGGAGGAAATCCTTCATGCATTTTAGAGCCTTTTTTGTAAAAGTAGGTGGTTTATTAACTGTAGCTTCACCTCCTCAGATGTATTGTTTTGGCTCACAGATAGGTACTGAATCACTTCTAACCCTAAAACCACAAGTCTTGGTTTAAAAGCTGTTTTACAAGTTCTCTGAAAGGAAAGGTTTAGCAGGTGACCACAGCTGTCTGTTTCCTCCTTAAAGCGTTTACTTTTTATTCTTCTCTTGATGTCAAACTTTTTTTTTGTCTTCAGGTTTCCTTTTTACTTTGAGCTAAAGATTGCCTTTGTAATCTGGCTCCTGTCCCCGTACACTAAAGGCTCCAGCGTCCTCTACCGCAAGTTTGTCCACCCAACGCTGTCCAACAAGGAGAAGGTAGGACCTACAGCTACAGTGGTGTCCACTCTGTAAAGATGTTTGTTTTCCTGTTCATTCTGACAGGGTTGTGTGATACTGAACAAGTTTGTAGGGTCAGCGTTAGCCGCTTCACGCCACCTTCCACCATTAAGCTGACATGCACGACTGATAGTGATTGTGTGTCACACACACACAAATCATCACATGGCATTAATTGCGTTAACTGCAAAGTGGCTAAAATTACTTGTTGACAGTTTTTTGTAACGATTAATTGCACACGGTACAATTTTGCCAAACTCTACCTGACCATCTGTTGTCCTGTTCAGTTTTGTTCACACTTCCTCTCTCGACTGCCCTCAGGAAATTGATGAGTACATCACTCAGGCCAAAGACAGGAGTTATGAGACCATGATGAGGTTTGGAAAACGAGGTCTCAACCTCGCTGCTAATGCTGCTGTCACTGCAGCCACCAAGGTGAGCCGTGCGCTCCGTGACGCCATTAATCATTAATGCTTCTTGTTAAATTTAGCTTGTGACAGCTGTGATCTCTTCATCTATGAATGTACTTCAGTTCTGATTGATCATGTTTTACTGACCTTAAACTATTGTGATGTAGATGTTCTAATTGCAAATCATGACAATGGGTGATAGTTACTGTAGGAGTGAGCTCAAGGTGAATTAAGCTTTTCCCACATCTCTCATACACAAGGTTKTGAGGAAACTTTTACCAAGGTTTTTCTCATTACTTGTTAATATCTTGACTGTGAAAAGTGACACAATAAGTGAACGTTTAGACGAGTTCAAGTTGATTCATAAAAGACTATGCAATCATTTATTTACACAAATTGAACAGATCATAAGTTGCACCTGATTGTGGTTATTCCTATAACAAGCGTCAGAGTTAAAGGAGATAAAACCCGTGTCCGAATTTCAGTTCACATCAACTCAGATTACTTATATAGAACAGTAAAACGTCAATTCTGATGTTGACAACCAAACAATTTTACTGGCAATTTTAGCTTAAGTTTTGGCAAATTAAGAACAAGGAAAGGAGGAAAGTAAGATTAGTATTTTACTACTACTTTTACTTTTGTCAAAGTGTGGGTCAACCGGAACTGCACGTCTTTTCTAAGCTCAGGTTCCACATGACAGTCACTCCGAACACATCAGCTTTACCTGGTGATGACTTCTTAAGGCACCCTCGGGGTAGGAGCTGGCTCGCCTCCGATCAGTCAGGGAACTGATGTCGGCTCGCTTACCGGTCATTTGCTAACAGGTTTTTTTATAGGTAACTTTCGTCTGTTTCAGTCCAAGCCAGAAAAATTCAAACCGTATCCGGTTCCTCCTTCCAAAATAAAATCTCCCCTCGGGAGTTAAAAACACTCATGAGGCTCAGCCTCGGGTTGAGACCACCGACAGGCATGCCGGGTCCGTGGCTGTGAAGTCTTCCCTAGTTAGCTCATGGGATCAGACTTAAAGCCAAAKWGYGGTTTCTCTGGAGAGAATCCCAGCTGTCTTCCTAGGTTGGAATCAGGAAGAAGAGTGTGTCGCTCAAAGCCGTCCGGGTTAGTAAAAGAAACGGTCGAACTTTGGTTCCACCCTCAGGCTTAGAGATGAGTCAGAGAAAGAAAGATAAAGACTTGCCAGCTGGCACCAGCCCAAGTTTAAAATTCTGTTGTTGTTCAACAACAAGATATGATAACCTCTTTTCAGCTTTCTTCTGATAGACTCTTAAGAGAAATCACTGCAAAACATTTATGATGATTAATTAACATTTCTGTTTATAATCAGTTCACAGTAAAATAAAAACAGTGATTTACATAAAAACATAATGAAAACATTGTAATCAGATTCTCTGTGATTTTTTATACCATTATAAATCTTTAAGGCACGATAAAAGAAAAGAAGTGGTTCCACTTTTCCTGTGACAGTCATTATCATGATTTAACAAATGCATAAACATTCTTAGTTAAACAACAAATGAATCACGAACAGAAGAGATTGTTCTGTCCATTACCTGATTAAGAGAACTGAGGGGTTCTCTTCCACGGTTGGAATGACCTGTCATGGCCTAAACTGAGTTCAGTTTGTGACAGAGTTCCTGTCCTCTTGTCAGGCCTGTCCGAGGCCTGCTTCAAGGCAGTAAATCTTGTTTCTTCACTCGAGGTGACCCCTACATTACTGATATTAGTRCAAACATGCACGTTTTGTGCATTTCTGGCTACAAAAGCAAGTATTTAAAATGCAGATCCTTGTTGTTGTTTAACTTATCTAAATTTATATAAACCTACAGTAAAACCTGGTTTAAATCCAGAATTGTACGTTAGTAATCCTTTTGTGTAACTTCCAATTTTTTAAACAATATTTTATTAAACTATCAAGGGTACAGCCAAAAGAAAATAGGAGCCCAGCAAATCCTAAAAATATTTTCTGCCAGAAGAAATTCAAAGCTTCCAGTGAGTCTCTTCTGGGAGACTGTAGAAGTCAGGCTGTGCATTATGATGGAGGGGGGAAGAGGATGAGCTTCTTATTTATAGAGCCCTGGGTTCACCTTACAGTTACATTTGCATAATAAAGACTTTCTCTCGTCAGTCCTGTGTGGGTCAAGTTCTACTGCTTTTTCACCAGAGCAACGGATGTTTGGTTTTTGTGTCGTCTCGTGTCAAAAACTTCCACTCTGTGTGATGTTCAGGGGCAGGGCGTGCTGTCAGACAAGCTGCGGAGTTTCAGCATGCAGGATCTGACTCTCATCAACACGGAGGATGAGCTGGACCTGCACACGTCAGAGGTTCGAGCCAGGCGAGAGCCCTTGGACGAGATGAGCTCGGGGGCCAGCACGTTGCCTCGGGCAAAGAGCGTCACCACACGGCAGAGTAAGACCACGTAACACTTCTCTGTGGAGGTTTCCAGTTTTACTCAGCAAAGCCTTTGTGTTTCAGAGCTGCAGCAGATGTTTGTCTCCAACATTTGCAAAAATAGTTTGAACGAATGTGACTAAATCAGGACAGTCAATAATTAGTTTTCTTAGTTAGAACTGAATAAATCGTAGTTTAGGGATGCGGTGCACCGATTTCTGGTACTTAGATAAGATCGGTTTAAAAGATCAGATTCCTCCACTAAGGTCTGAAAATCAACCACTGTCTCCTTTTGCTCTGCTGAGCTCTACCTAATGTCCAGTTCAAACAAGTTTGTATTGTTTCAAGGGTATCATTCAGTGTTTTCAATAAAATAAGATTGGAACATTGGAGGTGTATTGTGACCTTTATAACACCTGACAGTGTCAGACATTAAAAAGATTGGTATCAACCAAAATCGGAATCGGCAGGTCAGACTTTTTAAAGATCGATGATTGAAAATTTGCCAGAAAACTAAGTTTTAAGTTCAAAAATTTTTAAATTGTGCAGAAAAAGTTTCATCTTCCCACTCCTCTGGTCCATTGCAGTAGTTTTGAGTGTTAGCAGAATGAGTCTCCTTTTTGATCTTGGAGTTGTCAAAGATTTTTGTTCGACTGCAACCTTTCAATAWTCGATGATCTAGCGATATCTGGTATTTTGGTCACGATAACTCTAATAAATGAAACGATTAGAAGAATCAAGCCTGGCACGAGCTGTTTTATTTTTTATGTTTCACAAACTGTCCTCGCTTTGTTTTCCCCTGCAGCCCGCTCCGCAGCRGCCGCAGCTTTAGCCGACGACGCCTCGTCCCAGCACAGCTCCGACCTGTCGGACACCAGGACAGAGCACTCCGACGACGACCTCGGGGACAAGGCACCCAAACGCAGCACCGGCGCCAAGACGACAAAGAAACCTGTGGCTGCGAAGACGGAGGTGAARACCTGCCCTAAAATTTTCATTTGTGTCCAGAATGACACATTTCTTTTTCTTTATTCGTTCAGATTTAATTTTCTTCTTTCCTTTTCTCTGCTAGACCCAACCCAAGACCATAAAGAAGCCTGTAAAGAAAAAGACCACCACTAATAACGCAGAGACACCCCCATGAGTCCCGCTTCACACAACTTGTAATCTCCTCTTCCTCTCCAGTCTCCACACACACACATGCTGTGTAAATAAAGCACGGACACCGTCACTCCTGCTGGTTTTAGAGCAAAGTACAGGTGTTGTTTGTCTTGGCGATAAGCGACCTGTTTCAGGTTTTGAAAGTTTGCTTCCTGTTGTATAATTTCTCTCTTTATGCTCAGGTAATCTGAGTGTTACCTGCTGGGGTTTGTGCCTAAATTATTATTTTAGAATCTTAAAATGGTTAGTAATTTGGTCAGAAATGTTGTTTTTCGTGGTCTGAAAAACAGAAAAAAGCTAACTTCTCAGTTGCATCAGGTTCACTTTGAGTTGCCAGTTCAGATACTTCAGACTGAGGCTTTTTGTTTGTAGTATAATATAATTTCTTCACGTAGTTTCATATATTTAGCTTACTTTTAGGCTAAAGATGCACATTAGTGTTTGGTGGCTGATACAAGTCATACATCTCTAACTAAACTAAGTCTTGATTTGGAGCACAGTCATGAAAGGGAACACAAAGTAGATTTTAATCAGTGCATAAAAAGAAATTGGAGTAAATGTTATTGTTCTCACTCAAGTGTCGCTAGGTTTACTAGAACATTTGTATTGCTCTATAGTCATCTATCCTCTTTGCCTCCCCATTTTTTGATTCTTACACAAAGAAAACAGTTGAAGAAATTGAAATGAAAGTTTTAGCTCCTCTTGTCTACATGTTCACGTCGCTGTGAGTGAATCTGGCTCTGCTACGTTCAGGTCTCATTCTTTTAATGTGATTTTAAGTCGTCCAGGAGGTGGAGTGCTCTGTTTAGTGCTGGCCATTCTTCATTTAGATTTCCACTGTATTTATTTATCATTTATTTCCCTGCTGTTTTCTGTCTGTTTTATAGTTGTGTAATATTTGTAAGAACTATTAAGTGTAATTAAGGCCAGTGACGGAGACGACACCTCAGTGCCGGCTGGATTTTTTTAGTTTTCAAAAGTAAAAGAAAAAGAAGAAACTTTGCACTTTCTGTCTTCATACCCAAATGGGTGGCGACATTTTTTCATGTTTGCGTAGCAAACCTCAACTGACTGAGGATTAGATCTGATTAGACCAGGTGTGTTTAATTCTGGTCCTCGAGGGCCACTATCTGCATGTTTTACTTGTTTCCCTTCTTCAGCACACCTGATTTAGTGATTGAATGATCTTTTTATGTTCCGCAGAAGCCTGTTAATCACCCGTTCCTTTTAATCAGGTCTGTTTGAGCAGAGAAACCTGGAAAACATGCAGGATAGTGGTCCTCGAGGACCAGGACTGGGGAAGCGCTGCTGTAAGACATGAAACTCATCTGTACCAGTGTTAACCAGCAGGGGGAGACAAAGTCCACCTCAACTGTTGGATAAATGACTGAAAAGCGTGTAAATGCAATATAAATAGTATCCCTGAGTGTACATACATCTTAAACTTACTCGCCTTATTTATTGTCAGGGTTTAAACAAAAATTACTATTTTATTTTTTTCTCTTTTGGCCTTGACAAATCATTGGTTTTGAGAGCAGAACCAATCAAAGCAAACTTTTGTGGTCATGGAAGGATTTCTAAATCTGCAATTTTTTTTTTTTTAGTTTTTAATGCTTTTGAACTTTATCTCACAAGTAGAGAATCTATAGCTCTGTAGAGTCGATGCTTGTATAATAACAGCCTGCTATCTTCTCTATTATGCCTTTGTTCATTTTGTCTTAATTTTTTTTTCTCTGAAAATTTACAATCAACATTTCATCATTCTTATAAGGCCACATTTTCATCCTGCATCTTATTTATTGTTGGTTGTGTTTTTCAGTATTGCAAACAAACATGGATGTAAATTTGTATATTGTTTGTGCCACTTCTTTTTAGTTTTGTGTAAAAAAGACAGCGGCGTGTGTCAGCTGCCACTGTGCTATCGGTCAAGAAATTGCTACTAATAAAGGAGATTAAGTATTTGTTGGTTTTGTTCTCTTAAAACAGATCACTGATTTTATTTTATTTTTCCCCCCTCAATAACATGTTCAAAGTGCCTTCTCATGTCGTACATAAACAGGAGATAGAGGACAGCTGAAGGTGAAAACAGTATTTTTCAGGGATATGAATGAGAAAGCTAAATTTATCAGTTAGCCCAGATTCTACGTGTCATATGCCAGACTGACTGAACTTACAGGATAAACAGCAGAGAGAGTCGAATCTCTGAGTCGGATTAAGATTTACTGGAAATGCTGTGGAACCAGGCGAGTCACATATATACGTACATGTGTATCTGTTTTACATAACATACATTTCACCTAGGTTAGTATTTTGGTTACCCTCGATTTAATCTGCACATTTTACACTTGCTTTATTGCCTGTAAAGTGTGTCTTTGTGCATGGAATTGTGATATAAACAACTCGGATTAATACAAATGTAACGTGTGGAAGAACCATACACAGCCGCACCATCATGGCACCTCCTCATACTGCTGTGGGATGGTATCCCAGTCCAACATGGTCGTGTTGTGTTGCCATTCCATACTTTCCACTCCCAAGCTCAAAGCAAGAGTTAAAGCAACAGCAAAATAAACTGATTGGCAGAGAAGATTTGGCAGATTTTTTAGGTGTGCAACCCACATACTCAGCTCTGCTGCTCATCCCACAAATGCATGTTCCTTACAAYCGTGGCTCCATTTAAAAGAGGAAATTAACAGGCTTTCCAACTGTATAAGATTCATTCCCAGGAAGCATTGTTACAAAAAAAATCTTAACACACAAATTCCTTTACTTTTTGTGCTGTTTGTATGTACATGGTGAGTCAGAATTACACAGGACACACTTTTTTCTCAGAAGAAGAGGGAAAATTGCAAATCTGAATATCTCAGCTAYCAGTGGTGGGCACAGTTCCCCTAAAGCACTAATTGGGGAACTCATTTCCTGATTAGTGCTTTAGGGCTTTTGCTAATTTTAAAACTTATTAGTGGATTAGCACTTGCTAAATTTAGAAGAACTAACAGGTCTATAAATGTTATTGATCAATGTTAATGTTAACAGCTGACAGTGAAAGCTGTCGCACATTTTGTTCATATGTGTGTCACTTATCCACTAGGTTAAAAAAAACCTTATCCACCAGGTGACAATATATTGACAATATATGAACACAAATGCAGCTGTGGAATGTCAATGATGAGTCTTYAGAGAGCAACATGGCAATATGTGACTCACGGGATGCGGGGTGGGGTGGGGACAACACTTTCCATTGTAACGGGACTTCTCCCGGTGGGCCGGAGCATCACTGGGCTGGTGCAGGCAGCGAGGGGGAAAAAAGTTGTTGGGCTTACTGTCTGGTGGGGCCTGGGCTGCGGGCGGACATGGGGCTTGGAGGGGCTCCAGAGGCGGGGCTGGCACTCCGGCTTCCCTGGGGCTGTTTGGGTTCCCAGAGTCTGGCTCCTGGTTGCTGTGGTTGACCCGCTGGCTGGGGTGGCTGCCGGAGTCTGGGGGCTGGTTGGTTGGGGG